GAGTTGAAGCTAGGCAACGTGATCTACCTGCATAATGTCATCGTGGCTGATATAATGGACGACTGCATCCTAGGCTTAGACTTTATGAGGAATAATTGTTGCGAGATCGACGTTAAGCAAGGTGTTTTGAAATGTGGACAGGAGGAACTTTTTATGGAAGGTGCGTTACCAGGGAACGTGTACAGCATCAAGAAGATTGTTCTTCCGCCGAGATCGGAAACGATTGTTCCGGTTAGTCTTCCTCGAAACGCTGGGCAAGCTCACCGTTGTGTACTTGTGGAAAGGGTAAACAATGACCTTCCATGGAAAGTAGCTCGAACCTTGGTCAGGACCACTGACATCTCAGGAGTACGTGTGCTGAACCTTTGCGACCGGAAACAGATTATAGAAAAAGGCACACTGGTTGGTACTTGTGAGGAAGTGGATTGGTTACGTCAGTGCCAATATATATCGAGTGGGACCCCCAGCAAGGATTCAGAAACGAGAGTGACCACACTTTTGGAAGACTGTCGCGGTGTTCTCTCCCCGAACGAATTGGTCAAGGCGAAGAAGTTGTTACTCAAGTTCGCTGATGTATTCTCGTCAAACGATGCTGACATAGGAAAGACTGGCTTAGTTCAACACAAAATAAACACAGGAGATGAATTGCCTATCCGTCAGCGGCCAAGAAGATTGCCGGTAGCACGTGAAAAGGAAGTGGAAACCATGATTGAGGGAATGGTGAAGGATGGTGTTATTGAACCTTCATCTAGTCCATGGTGTTCACCCGTGGTGCTGGTAAAGAAGAAGGATGGCAGCATGCGGTTCTGTGTTGATTACCGCCGTCTGAACGACGTTACAAAGAAGGACAGCTATCCCTTGCCAAGAATTGATGACACGCTGGACATGCTTACAGGAGTAAAATGGTTTAGCACGCTGGATCTAAAAAGTGGCTACTGGCAAGTTGAAATTGACCCTAAGGACAAGGAGAAAACTGCGTTCTCGACGGGAAAGGGTCTGTGGCAATTCAAAGTAATGCCGTTTGGGTTGTGCAATGCTCCAGCAACGTTTGAAAGGCTGATGGAACTTGTACTTACCGGGCTAATTGGCGATGCCTGTCTGGTCTACTTGGATGACATCATCATCGTGGGCCGTACGTTTGAGGAACACCTTCAAAACCTGGAACGCGTGCTCATGAAGATTCAGAGTGCCAACCTCAAGTTGAGCCCGAAGAAATGTTCACTATTCCAACGGCAAGTTAACTTTTTGGGGTTTGTAGTATCGGAAGAAGGTATCCGCACAGATCCAGAGAAAATCGCCGCTGTCAAGGATTGGCCGGTTCCAAAAGACAAGACGCAGGTTAGAGCATTTTTGGGTTTGTGCTCCTATTACCGGCGATTCGTGAAGAACTTTGCAGATATAGCCAAACCTCTGCACAAGCTAACCGAGGAGAAGCGACATTTCTGCTGGGATGAAAGTTGCAATATCGCATTCCAGGAGCTCAAGGACCGTCTGTGCAAAACACCTATTTTGGGATACCCTGATGCAAGCAAAGAATTTATAGTTGACACAGACGCAAGTGATATAGGACTTGGCGGTGTGCTGTCTCAACGGAATGGTGACCAAGAGGTCGTGATAGCGTACTTCAGCAAGTCGTTGTCAAAACCGGAAAGGAACTATTGTGTCACAAGACGCGAATTGCTCGCTGTGGTAAAGTCGTTGCAGCATTTTAGCAAATATCTTCTGGGACGAAAGTTTCACTTACGAACTGACCATGCTGCACTAAAATGGCTATTGCAGTTTAAAAATCCAGAAGGACAAGTTGCGAGGTGGATTGAACTACTGCAGGAATACGACTTTGAGATCGAACATCGCAGCGGAAAATCTCACGGCAACGCAGATGCATTGTCAAGAAGACCTTGTCCTGAAGATTGCAACCATTGTACTAGGCAAGAGAGTAAGGAAGAGGTATCCGTGAGGATGCTCAGGACGGACCACCTCAGCAACGAATGGAAGGACAGCTTACAACATGCACAGCAGGAAGATCCGGACATCAAGCCGATTCTGGAATGGATAAGGGCCAGTGCTCCCAAGCCTAAGTGGAGCGACGTCTCAGCAATGAGTTCAACCACTAAAAGCTATTGGGCCCAGTGGGACAGCTTGCTGCTTCAGGATGGAGTTCTGTGCCGTAAATGGGAAAATGTTCGGGGAGACAGCTGTTATTTACAAATGGTTGTCCCTAAAGCTAAAGTACCGGATGTTCTACAGCTGTACCATAATGATTATTCAGGAGGCCATCTGGGAGTTAAACGAACTCTACTGAAGATCCGAGAACGGTTTTACTGGGTCCACTGTCGAAACGATGTCGAGGACTGGTGTCGCAAATGTACAAGTTGTGCGGCTGTAAAGGGACCTCAGACTCGTAGTAGAGGTGCATTGAAGTTGTACAATGTGGGTGCACCATGGGAGAGAATAGCCATTGACGTGGCGGGGCCGTTTCCGGAGAGTGAAAGCGGTAACAAGTATTTCATGGTTGTGATGGATTACTTCACTAAGTGGCCAGAAGTCTTCGCCATTCCAAATCAAGAAGCTTCAACAGTTGCAGATAAACTAGTTCATGAAGTCTTCTGTCGTTTTGGAGTACCTTTAGAGATTCACAGCGATCAAGGAAGGAATTTTGAGTCTCAAATATTCCAGGAAACTTGCCGAGTTATGGGTACTCATAAAACAAGAACGACTTCTTATCACCCGCAATCTGATGGAATGGTGGAACGATTTAATCAGACATTGGAGAGGTACCTAGCAAAAGTTGTAGACAATCGGCAACGAGATTGGGACAAGCACATACAACCGTTTTTGTTGTCATATCGAAGTTCTGTTCACGAAAGTACAGCAGTGACACCAGCTTTCGCAAACTTTGGAAGAGAATTACGGCTGCCTGCGGACCTGATCACCGGGATACCACCTGATGCCCCACGCAGTATAACCGATTATGCAAATGACTTGCGGAACAAAATGAATGACATTTATGAGCACGTCAGACAATCGGGCCAGCAAATGTCTGAGAAAATGAAAACCCGGTACGACCGCAAAATGAACAATAAAGGGTTCAACGAAGGTTCATTAGTGTGGTTGCACAATCCAGTCCGCAGCAAAGGGAAATCTCCTAAGCTTCAAGCTAAATGGGACGGCCCGTACCGGATTGTAACCAGGATCAACGATGTGACCTACCGGATACAGAAAGGCGCAAGAGGGACTCCTAAGATCGTCCATGTCGATCGCTTGGCGCGTTATTATGGGACCGATAATGCTCGGGACGAGCATGTCTTAGGAGGGGGCAGTGTTGCATGAATAAGTCAACTAGCGCCATCTAGTGTCAGGAGCGTGGGCGAGGGGGGCTTTGCAGTGAATGACATCACAACCGACAGCGCCATCCGAAGAAACTAAGTTTCTAGAAAATCTATACTCGGACTCTCGATACCTTACGCGTGTTTGCTTGAACATTCTGGATATTTGCTAATTTAAATAAGTAGGCGCTGCAAGGTGCGATCGGGTCAGAGTGAACTCGGCGACACAAGCGAAGCTTCGGAGCGGAATTAAGTAAATTAGTGTGTTTAATTATTAGTGTTTTAAGTTTTAATTTGTGTAAAGTAAATTAAAGTGTTAATTTAGGTAATTTTATCGGCAATTTTTATTGTCACGAACCTCAAGCTCGTAACAATACATTAGACTTAGTAACTCATGTTAAAGAACAAAGTGTTTATAAAAAATATATAATCAATTAAATTCACAGGATAAATGTTCTAGAAAAACTGTTGCTCATTTGATTTAATAACAAAGTATTCGTTGATAACAACATAGTCGTTAACAACACGCCATTGTTAATAACCTTATACAATGACGATAAAGAAATAAGCACGAATAAACAACGTGAGTTTAACAAAGGAAATTTCCATGTCAGTACATTACTTTGAGGTCCATTTCTTAAGGTCAGAATCTTCACTGAATTGCGGGAGTTGTAGACATTTGTAGTCGTGGGTACTAGAAGTGGTGATCGATAGCAGAACGATTTGCACTTGTACGCAAGCCTTGTAAAAGCTTGATGGGTATTCAGCTGTATAGGTGCCAATTTTACTGTTGAGGTACCTGCTTTCGATTGTATAGAAGCAGCAAAAGTGCTATTAATGTGCTATTAGTGTGGATATGAGAGTTAAAAAAAATAATATAGGCAACGAAAATGTTTATGAGGAAAATGATAACAAAAATATACAGATTAAACCTTTATTGTGTATTATTTATCAAATCACGTTCCCAATTCTCAAATTTATAATTAACAACCCTTCATCCACGCAACGGGTGAACGACAGGTACAATGCAGATCACAGGTCACTCTCTCGTCCTGAAGCAGATAGACCGGCAAACATGTAAAGTTCTCCAGCCTACCCACATGTCATGATGGTGTCCAGAATAACGTCATAGGCCGTTTTTTTTGGCAGCGTACAAATTGTCAAAATATGTGATCCTTTGAGAGAAGAACTCCCTATCATAAATCATCAAGTAAAAGACAAGGCACGGGATCAGGACCTCGATGACTGCTCCCCTAAATTCGGTCAAGTTAAGGAAACTTGCGTGGATGCTCGATTTACGTGAATCGCTCCCGATATGGATTATTCATGCTGCAAGTTTATGGGCCATGAGGACGGTGTATGAGAATCTAGGACATGCCTCCATATTTGGGGGCACTAACCTTCGGTCTTCCACCTGAGTGATATCGTCTATCACTTGGGTTAAATGCACACCTGTGTACGTACAAGAGTCAAGGGAGAATGTTTCCGGGGGCAAGACCCAGATACAGCACTTTTTATCTAAGACGATTGCCATAGTGGAAGGGAGATACCTATACTCGCGATACCATTCCGCGAGCACGGATAGACCATAGAGGACCTCCTGAAAACATACATTGTAGTTGGTGCCCTGTTTGACGTAATGGATTGCGGTATCAGACACAATTCTGAACCATGTCAAGATGGTAGAACAACCGTTCCACATGGCCCCCTTCTCAGGGCTGGACAAGGGAGTCTGTGGGATAAGAGTCTTGAGTAAACTTGTGCCGTTAAAGGCTCCAGTTCCTCTAGTGAGATCTTTGTCTTCTCCTCAATGAGGACTCGGAGGAGATCATGCATGCCCTCACTCCCCTTTATCCAGCTGCTCAGTTCTAAGATGGTTTTTATGCTTTCAATCAGAGGACCTACCTCGATGACCTGCAGAGGGGCTTTACGAGTTTGGGTTTGGGTTTGTGAACCTATATACGGTGTTTTTGGGCCCCTCTCATGAAAGCAATCACGATGAGCTTCACCCGCCCATATGACCATGATGGATGATGGTACCGCTTCCTCTGACAATGTATTCCAAGGTACAATCAGCACTTTATCACAAGGAGTGGGCATGGTAATACTACCTTCAAGAGGGAGCTCCCAAAGCCATTCTCTTAACTTCTGTGCCAGGATCGTCACACACTCAGCATGCTCCAACATCTTGGAGAACCCGCTGTGCTTTGCCTTCATGTAATATCTGCATGTTCGGATCTCGAGTGTCTTCACTGTTTCAAGTAGTGCCTTCTCATCTATCCAGACAGTCATAGAAACCTGCTGGATAGACCTTGAGGTGGAAAACTTGCTGATAACTTTTTCCCTATGGCCAATATTGGACAATTGCCACAACTTACAGAGCAGCTTGGGGCAGACAGGTTTGATGGACAGGAGGTCTCTCTTCAATCTTTCCTCTTCCTCATCCGCTTTAGTGCCAAAAATGGCCAACATCTCTTTGTTTTTTATGATTCCCAGTAGCCCTTCTTTCAACCTCCTCCTAAAAAGATTCTCGGGTTGAGGTGGGATGTTCAATGGTATGCTATCCGGATCCTTTATAAGTTGAATCAAGTCTACATGATTAGGTTTACCTATGTCGAGGAGGGCATAGACACATTCCCGTAATCGATCGTCCCTAAGAGCGTGCCTCATCACACTGAGACCTAGGCTCAATGTGTCTTGAGTCGCTCTTGTGGCAAATTGGGGGAACAGAACAACCGGATATCCCCCAATAGTCCGGTTCATGAGAAGTAAACTAATCATCCATTCGTCGGATTGTTGTAGATACTCTGGATGTAATCGCCATAAAGCCCTCGCCGGTTCATATACGGTTAGCATATAATCCGGAACTGAGCTCTCATCATCTCCGGCTATAGAAGCCCTACTGGAAAAGAGCCCTGCTATAGTAGCGTTGGTGGTGTGGAGCGTCTGATTTGCTTCGTCATAATAAATCCTTTGTAACTTTCATAAACGAGCGTTTAAGTAGTAAAAATACTTAATAAATGGTGTAATTCGTCAAACATAACATCTTTTCATACAATTCTTTAAAAAAAAAACGCTATATTTGCGAGTTTTAATTAATTATAAGGCTGTATAGGAGCGTGTCTTTGCCTCATTTTTTGTTGTCAGAAAAAAATTGTTATCACGACGATCATGAAACAAAGTAAACAAAGATCAACTTTCGAAGAACTCTTTTTTAAGTTTAAAGGTGAAGTGCTTTTTAAGTATGTGTACAGTGAATTAATAATAGACCTTTCAATTTGGGTATAACTATAAACAGTTTGAAATAGTTCATTACCGCATTAACACAATTAAGCATCATATGAAACAGACGAAATGGGCACTGTTAGCTAATTAGGAGGAACAAAATAAATAATAATGGTCAAGGATAGTAAGTAAGTATAACAATGTTTTTTTAAGAATTTTATAAGTAGATGTTTTTTAATTTAGATTCCGAAAAAAAGCAATTTCAGTGTTTTATTTTTCGTATAACCGGTGAAGTTGCTGCTAGTTGTTGAAATCCATCGTAACTTTCACAAATGAGCATTTAACCCTAGATCACTAACCTTATTTTACTACGCTTATTACTAACCTTCGTCGTTTCGACTACGGTGTATAAAAGGGAGGCTTCTAAGGGTTTATGAAATAAAATATTTATATGTGTTTTACTTATTTATTACAATAATCATTTGTTAACATGTTCATAAGTTTTTTATCTACTAAAATCATATTTTAATTACTTTGACACTCTTTTAATTCAGACCTGAGTTTTTACTCATTTGAACATTTTTGTTTTTTTAAATGCTTGTTTCTTATGAACTAAAAGAATCAAAGACTTAAGAAAGTATTAAAATATTAAAATTAAGTAATAAAATCAACAAAAGAAAGAAACAGTTTAGAAAAAAAGTATTAATAAATACATTTGTGACAAATGTCAAATTTGTGTTCGCCACACAAGGATTTGTTGCGCTTGGTGCAACAACTCTTTGTCATTCTTCGCTTTGTGGAGTGACAAATTGCACAAATTTTTCTTTTTTTAGCGATAGGAAGACTAACTGCATCTTCTCTTTGATCAGTCTCATGTGTAGAAGTAGAACTACTGGTTTCTGGCATATTCAAAATCGCTGTTATTGAGTCCCGCAGCCCCGTTTGAAGTGTCGGAATTTGTAATCTTTTTTGCATGTGTGGCTCGACTAATTTTTGATGCTACTCCGCCCTTAAATTGATCGTAAAACTCGACAGCCGTGGGCTTTTTGGTTAAGTCATCAATTGTCCCTTCCTTATCACAAGTCGACAATAGGAATATTGTCTTTTGGGGATTTGGCTTGTATGTACTGTTGATGTACTTGCCTTCAGTTAAAGGTGGCTGTTCTGCCACAGAAAAAAATTCTTTCTCACAATCCGTTTCATAAGGCGGATCAGCCTCAAAGTTGTCTACTATCTCACTCTTAGAGCAGTTTTCTTCGTCACTATTATCATCTAACAACAGCTGACTAATAGTATCTAAAATAAAAATATAATCAAATAAAAATAATGTAAGTTCTAATTTCAATGTAGGCAAAATAAGTACAAAGTTTACAAAACACCGAAATAATTATAACACCAAAAAAAAAAAAAAATAAATTTGCAAGAATAACGTTAATACTAACCTTCGTCGATTCGACGACTCATGGTGGCTGGAACGGCACACCCAGGGCCCCTACACAAAAAACACATTCGTGTGCCGCGGGAGCCTTGAGTCAACTAAGATCAGCCGGGATCTGAAAAGCCTACGACGACGCACTCAACATTTATACCACTTTTTTTGAGTCCGCGTCGTCGTTTTGACGAAGGTTAGTGATCTAGGGTTAAATAACAAAAATACATAATGAAGTGTTTTTCGACAAACTTAACATCAGTTCACACGGTTCTTGTAAAAACAGCTTGATTTATTAACTTTGAATGTTTCTTTAGGCTGTAAAGTGCTTTCCTTTCCCTTTTTTACTATAGGTACTTGAAAATAATCCATAACTCATTCCTCTCATTCTTAAAATAGGGTTCTGTGATTTTAAAATAAGTTTTTATTTTTATATATGTTGAAGTACTTAAAGACTGGTGCAGTTTGGTACTGATTATTTCGAAATTGTTCATCATCAATTTAACATTATAACATGACTAATCGTCCAACTCTAGCACAAATTGAAACCTTAGTTGAATTTTTAGAACAAAACGTCGGAATTGCGAAAGGTCTGCTACGGACAAATCAAGCAAAAATGGAAATAAAGAGGCAATGGGCATCTGTAGCTATAACTTTAAATTCATTGGGAGGAGCAAACAAAGATGGGCAAGGTTGGGCTAAAGTAAGTCTTAAGTTTATATAAAATATAAATACTGTTTTTTTACCTGTTAGGTATATTTAAATAAATTATCCATCGTTTTTAGTATTGGGCAGAGAAGAAATGTGCCTTGAAAAAATTGTGTGCTCAGCACAGCAATTCCATGAGACGCACTGGTGGTGGTTCTGCTGATGACCTGCCCATGTTATCAGGTTTGGATAAGAGATTGGTGGCAGTTATGGGTGGTCAAGAGTTTGCTGTTGGATATTCTCAACTTGCTGTTGATCCTTTTCACCACACGCTAATTATTCATAAAGATCTTGTAAACGTAGTTAAACTTTTAAATATAATGTTTGTTAGTCTATAAGAAAATTTGTATTATCTCTGTAGCCTTATAAATACATCTTTATACTCATATGTTTGTAAATTTTAGGAACATCAAATGACACAATCAGTCCCTGCGGCTTCACCAGCAGAAAATGTAAATTTAGGTTTAGAAAATCAAGCAGCGGTGATAGGAAGTTGTACTTCCCCTATTCCTGGCACCTCCCAGGATACACTACAATCACCTCCGCGTAAAAGTAAGTAATTTTTTTTATAGAAGAGTAGAAAATAAGCATGTGGCTCACCTGATAGCGGTGACCGCCACCCACGAACAACTGCAATACCAGAGTTACAGGTGCTTTGCCGGCCTTTAATTTTCTAACATTAACCAAAACTAGAATGTGACTAACATTAACCAAAATTTAGCACCATTTTTAATTTATGAAATTTAAGAATATTATGACCTTGCTTTATGGTTGGGGGCCTAGGACCAGCAGTGCACTTGTAAAGGGCTGCAATCATGGTGATGATGATATAATATATTATAGTCCCTTTAGCTTCATGTGGTAACAGACTTGCAATTTGTAGACATTATACTTATAAGTTATAAGTGACTTAAAAAGGTTCACCCACTGATTTTTTGTCAACCTTTCATTACTTAAATAAATAAGTAACATGTTAAGCATGTCATTTTCTTAAGTGGGTAAAAGTGTTTCAATAAGTTTTAAAGATATTTGTAAACTCTTGTGATGCTTAAAACTTTCAATCTAAAATATTCGATCTCAATATTAAATGCCCATATTTTATGGTCATGGACTGGATGCATTTATATCAGAAACATCACTTTTAAAATATTAAATATTATTAAAAATAATATTAAATATTTTAATTTCAGAATCAAAACTTAAATCCATGCCACATGTCAGGCAATGTCGTTCTGTCACAAGAAATAATAAAGACATGGAACGGCTAGTACAAATTGAGGAGCAGCGTGTCAGGGCAGAAAATATAACCGCACAAGCTTTTGCAGATGTTTCTGCTGCATTAGATCGTAATGCTGTTGCTGTTGAAAATATAGGCAGAGCTTTGGAGGGTTTATCTGCTGTCATTAACAATGCTATTATAGAATTTGCAAAAAAATGCAATGACAACAAATAGCATTTCTGGGAAACTTAAAATAAAAAGAATTTAAATTTTTATTGCTGTTTTCATGTTTAATTTTTTTTGTTTTTATTTAATTTCCATTGCAGTAACAACTTATTTGTTAAACTAAAATGTGCAATTATGTTGATTTTAATTTATAATAACCATATATTATAAATTAAAATCAACATATTTTTGATAATTTCATGTAAGATATGGCTATGGCTATTTTTTAACAATGAATCTTACTTATATAACTCCTAGGTCTAGTTTATATAGGTTATAAAGGTCAGTAAATTTTGTTTTATAATATTTTAAAAAATGTGAAATTATTTTCTCTTGAAATATTTGTGTTTATTAAATAAAATATTTGGTTTAACATTTTTGCAGTTTTATTTCGAAATCACAAAATTAAGATACAAAATAACTATTACATTAATATTAAGTTATAAAAGTTAAAATTAAGATACAAAATAACTATTTTAATCTTTGTAAATCGCATATGTAGTCTCTAATACATATCAATAATATTATATTTAAAACAGGTATTGGGGTTTTCTTTTAAATTACACTAAGGTACATATAAAGCCAGACTATGTTTTTTTTAAATCATATTCATTTAGTTATTATAATATACACAAAAGAAACAATAAGAATAAAATTATACTTAATTAAAACATAATACATAATTAATAGTACAAAGTAACTAATATTTTATATATTACATTGTCCTAGCAGCAAAGAGCTGTTGAACTAAGGCAGCTCTTTTTACAATTCCTCGCCTTAGTTCATCAGCCAATGTGATATTTAAAAATTCTTCAGGGATAGCGATATCTACTGAGTCATCTCTTTCAATTGCACTATCCTCTAACACTAAATGCAGGAGATCTTTTTTTATTACACATATTGTGTAAAACACAACAAGCGATCATTATTTTTCCTGCTGTGTTAGGGTGATAATGCAACACCCGATGGCCCAGCAAACATCGCCATCTATTTTTTTAACACACCTATTGCTCGCTCTACAGTGTTACGAGCTGAGCAATGCAACTTATTATAATATCCTTCAGGAGAGTCCACGTCAGCATTCAGTATGGGAGTCATCATATCGCACCCCCAGTAATATATGGGCCTAAAACTAAAAAGTAATTCTTTGGGTATACGTGTTTAAAGATTCTGGATTCTTACGTCCCGGTTTATTTTGTGAATAAAATTCTTATTACTTAAGTTACATATATAAAATTTTGAGGGCTTATTCTTTAAGAGATATTCTATAAGTAGCCAATAAAATAAAATAAAATATTATGAAATTCCATAAATTATAAGCATTTGAAAAATCACTTTCAAGTTAGGCCCATATATCACAAAAAATATAATAGTAATGTGGACCTATTTAGATTTGATTCAGTATATTATTGACATCCATGTCACTGTTTAGTTTACAATCGTAGTTGGTACTCTGTATAACAAAATCAAACCACAGGTCTGAACTTATTGTTTCCATTTTATAAATAAAACATCAGATATGAATAAAAATAATACTTTAATAATCAGCCCAAAATAACAAACAATCTCCTAGTTGTTTCTTTTTATCAACAATTAAACATATGAGCTATTGTCATATTACAATTAAGTCAACATAATATTATTAATAACATTACAACTATAAACTCTTACAAGTAGGTACTTTCCAACTATAAAGCTACATAACTTCCACATGACTATTTATTCTACATTACAATATTTTTCACTTCAGACTTAAAAAAACTATCCATACTTACTTAGCAAAAGTAAACAAAAGCCTCAAAAACTTTACATAACAAAAGTATCAAATATTTAAGATATTTTTCTTATAAATTATAATAAAACAATTAAGTCAACATGATAAGTATGAAAACCTTATTTTAAGGATAAAATCCCTTATAAGTTTCAGCGTTACAGTTTTTATATTAACCTCTCCACTTACTCCATTTTAATCTCAGATAATTACTCATAACAAAAAATGTATAGTATGAAAAATAAACAAAAACCTAATAAGTAGTACTTTTACATAGTAATCAGTCTTGTCTAAACAAAAATATCTCTAATATGTTTAACAATATCTTAAGACAACATGGTATTGTAATAAGAAGCATAGTATGGATCTATCAATTGTTTATCAATGAGATCCTTAAGATCATTCTTTTTAGCAGAACTAAGTTGAAGTGGCTCTAAGTATGCCTTTTGCATAGTTATTTCTTCAATATTTGGCATTCTTTTCCTCTTGTTACGAACATTTACTTTTTTTGAAATCATCCTTGTATGAACTTTTGTAATAAAAAGAAAAGGGGTCGTCTTTGGTAAATTGCAATACTTTGATACTATTCCATACTACATTATTTTTCTGTTCGTCAGTATTAAAATTATAGCCCCATTTTTCTTGCAGTTGCTGAAGATCATAAAAAAAAATTATGGGTTAAACTATGAACTTTAAATGGGGTGCCAGATTTCCTTGCTCTATTTATAGCTGAAATGTACTGTACTGGCGAGTATATTGGTCCTGTTTTCAGATCTCTAGTGATTTGTTTTTGGATTAAGCTGTGTACGTTATCAGCCTCATTTTGTGTGTGGCCCTTGATAAGATATTTGTGAGTTATCTTATTCAAATTTTTTATATTGGCCACAGCAAATAAATATAAAGAGGTGAGGTACTTATTTTTATTTTGCCCACAGCAATTATCAGATATAAACGTTATGTTAACTTCTTTTTCACCTGCTTCTTCACACACCATTTTCAAATAATGATAAACACAGCTACCTATCTCCGTAGCTCCCCTTTTACCTTGTGTCTCTTCCCAAAAATAGCAATGGACAGTACCATAGCTTTTAGAGATAATATCCATTGTTGACTCATTTTCCTCCTGAATTTTATTCAATTCGGTCATAGTAAAATTATAACTGTTGAGTTTAGATTTGTAATAGAATGCCGAAGTTTCACCATTCGGACTTTGCATAATGGCTTGTACATCGTAGCATACACAAATATTGCATTCATCAATGTTCTTTCTGTCGTTCTTTTTTTCTTTTCTGCTTAATTCCTTTTCTTCTAAATGGGTATCATATTTATTTTTTAGTTTTTGCTTTTGTGACTCGGTAGAATTGTGGTACTGTAGACAAAGATCACATTGATCTTTTTTTGGGCTGGTAAAAGCCAAGATTGAATTTGGTGTTAAATGTTTCATTAAACGTGTGATAGAGTCCAGCAGGGCGCGATCTCTCCTTTTGCAAAGCTTCAAAATCTCTAAAGAGCTCTGCAATGCTTTTACTACTGCTGATGTACTCTCTGGAGGTAGATGCTCTTAGGTAGTGTGACTCAATGCGAGGTATAGAGTTGATAAAGCTGATGATGTCATTGATAAGTTCAGCACTTGCAGTTTTATGATGATTGTGTTTACCACGTTGGTCATCCTTTATGAAACCTCCAGTGTTTCTGCTCTCCGCCTGTACGGTTCGAATCATCTTATGTGAAATATCAAGAGTATTAATAAAAAATACTTTACATACCCTTACTTTTTCATCATTTACAGTAAAATAAAATGCATGGTTTGGATTACGCGGGTTCTGGGCATTGGTATACTTGTACTTAGGTGTAATTTTTGTGCTATTAGACAAAATATACATTCTTTGCAACTGTCTATCACCTAATGCCCAGAAGGCGTTAAAGATCTGTAATCTCTTAGAATTATCGATGCGATCACTGCATTTTAATCGACAGTTTTGGCCACAAGGTGGTTTAATATTACGTGCAGGGACCAATTTCTTTGAATGTACAGCTACATAACTTTGACCCAAGTTTCGTTTAATTTTTTGCGTGTTTTGCATCCATTTATTTGGATCTGCTTTACGTTTCCTTGGTTTCATTGGAACATAATCGTCAATAGAATTGCCAGCTGCTGGGCTCGGTGAACGTTGACGATGGTTTTTCTCTTGAATGTAAGAGGGGTCGTCATCACTGAGATCTACGTCACTTTCCTCCGAATGAAGTGGAGAAATTATATATTTACAAACCGCTGTTCGGGGTCGAACCAATGGCAAATCGTTGCAAATTGGTGTCAATATGGATGGTGGAGAAAAATTGTCTCTAGAAGTTCGTGGCTGAGGGTCGGCGTTTTCATCTCTAGATGTACCTGGCTGTGGATCGGCGTTTGTATGTCTAGAACTATCTTGCAGTGGATCGGTGTTTTCATCTAAAGGTCGTCGCCCTGTGTTATGAGCATTAGAAGAACTAGTACTAGATGAAGTAATACTTGAGTTACTGCTGCTAGATCTAGAATTGCTAGAGCTACTAGAGCTGGACGAGCTTGAGCTAGAAAGACGGCGCCTGATAGGTTTCTGAGGAGAGGTCATGACATTTATATTTCCTATTACTTCGTCACTCATCTCCTTACAACTATCATAATCAATTGGTTGCTGGGTAACACAACTTGATTTTTTTTTGGACTAATAAGTTCTAATGGTGTGTTCTCTTTTTCTTCGTTACAAATCTGAAAAAAATGACATAAATAAAGTCAAGACAGTAAATTACAATTAATAAAATAAATTACATTAATTAAATTACAAAACTTGAACAAAAAAGACAAAAGTCAAATTACATTTTCAGTTCCCAAACAAAGATCTTTCTCTCTGTCGCAATCCAATCTATGGTGACTTGGTGATTTAAGTAGATTCATTATTCTTCGTGATCGGGATTCCATTTTTCTGAAAACACATTAAATCTAACAATACTTATACCAAAAACAAGAAATACCACCTATCTAGTAAATAATGATTTATATTTCTGTAAGTTTACGATAACTTAATTATTTTACTTTTCATTTAAAAGGCTTAAATTAAAAAACAAATTGAATGTTTCATATAAGTAATGGCCTATTACAAAATACGTCGTCGTAAATAAAAAAAAAATTACATACTATAATGAGCAATTATGATATAATTCCTTTTGACATCTTTAGTTTTTGACAATATAGCGATCTATTAATAATTAGACCCAAAAAAAATCAATATATTGTGTAATATTACGGCACAACTACAAATTATTCTAAATAGTACAAAAGATTCAAAACAAAACTCACCTGTTTTTTTGTCATATAAGGGCACAAACACGAATTGCACAACGTTTGAACGGTCTTCCTCCGATAAATATGGGCACGTTACTAATTGCGACTGTGTAGCGGTAAGATTAGGAGACGAGCGGGAAGGGTGTGAGAGGGACACAAATACATTTACTGAGTCATTATTGCCTTTTTTCTCTCTCTGTCAGCGGCAACCGGTAGATAATTTGGTTTTACGTTCTAAGCGTTAAAAATAACATTTCACAAAAAAATTGACTTGAGCCTTTATATTACTAAGGGTGCGATATACTCCCCTTTGAGCATACCCTGAGTCACCTAAAAATAAAAATAAACAATGTATGGTGTGGTATGATTTAAACATCACTCATAATGTTCTTCCTCGCTTTTATTATGCACACCTAATAAATACACATTTTCTCCTGAACTAAGCAACGAAATGATATGGTTTTTAACTGGATGCTGGTTCCATATAAAACTATCATGAGAGGCTCCGCCAAAAGAAGCATCTACTGACAGTATATTTAAATCAGCATCGCATATCTGGAAATAAATTAAATATATTTTCATCATAAAATATTATTATAAGATATTTTCAAATGCTTACAATTAAAACATTTCTTGAATGAAAATGTTTTCTGTTGAAAAACCTCTCCTCATTTTCTGTGGGTCTAACAATACTTATATGTGTACCATCAATGCAACCCAAAACAGCTGGTATATTAAATTTTTCATAAAATCTGAAATATATTTGTAGTACTATTAACAAAGTTACAAAACAATAAATATTTTAAAATAAGTACATGCAAGTACTCGTTCGTTTTACAGCATCTCTTTCTTGACGTGTTTGCGGAAATCTTATCCATTTTCCAAGGATATTGGGATTGTTTAGAGCATCAGTCACTTCTCTGATGGCACGAGATACAGATTGCTGAGACATCAATGTGCCATATGTTCCACCAACTAATTTTTGGTAACTTCCAGTAGCATAGTAGGACAAAGCTATCAAAATCTGCAAACGCAGTAAATAATATATATAAAATTACAATATAAAAGAACCTATATAATTTTATGTTAAATAGACACCTATAATAGGAATAAGCAGAGTTAAATCACTCACTTTATGTTTAGGTGATATATCACTTCTTCTTTTCGGAGATTGCATATACGGCTTTAATTCGTTCATTATCTCTTCAGAAAAGTCCTTAGTCACACGGTAATTAACCCTAAACTCATCATCACTCATGGAAAAAGCTTTGTCCATATATCGCATCATCCGTCGTTCATTTCGCCTTTGTTTTAATTGTAATGCACGGTTACGTCGTAGAATAATGACCGGAAGAGCTAAACGTGCCATAATTTTATTGAAAAAAATAATATACTTGCAGAAAACAAATGATTAATTTCACCACAATTTCTAAAACGTTACTGTTTTGCTATTGCCTTAATTCCAATTACAACCCAACGTCAAACACAATACGCTGCTCTCAACTAACTGTCAAAAGTGCGTCGGGAGTACCGATTTTGCTTGGACAATTTCAATTCCAATCCCAATTAGTTCACACAGTCACCACGCAACACTAAACTAATTTAGCGCTAGAGTCGCTTTCAAGAGTACCAAATGTCATAATTCCAATCCCGATCGATCGGAATTGTTTTCAAGAGTAAGCCAGCTGCTGAGTGTACTCGTCCGGTGTGAGGTTTCTTTCTCGTAGATATTGCTTGGATGGGATACGTAGGACGATGACTTGGTTGTCACCCCTGAACTCCGCCCAAAAACTGTGTGCAACGATGTGCTGCTAACAGAATTATTAGGATTGTTGCCAAAGTCCAACCTTTCTGGCGAAGGCCTTCGAGCCACGCCTCTGGCCCGTGAACACATCTTGGGCCCCATACTCTCCATCTTGGTCCTGGTCCGGGGGAGCGTATCTATCCTGGAATATCAACTTAGATATAAGAGGAAACTTATGGGTGAAACTGTATACGTTGGTGAACCCAAGCAGTGCATCTAGGGACTTAAATAAAGGCTCAACCAACTCAGCCCTGAAGTGAGTGCACCAGGAGGAGAAGTCTATTACAATGTTCACATAATCATGGTCTCCTCCTGGGCAGCTCATTCTGTTCAACGTCTTGGTCAGCTGTTCCTCGCTGAGTGTCATGGATTGATGTTTTATATACGTGAAGATGGTCTCTGCTATATTCGGCTCCGTTATGACTTGTCAGGCACGCATCTCAAAAGTCATCTTGCCAAAGCATCTGGCGTCGAACTGCTTGAACTCACGCTCTTTTGGGACTGCGACCATAATCCTCCAGTCTGACGGGATGACTCCTTTATCAATTAGGTTGATGATTTCTTTCCCATCAAACGACTCGCTCACGAGAAAGTGGATAATGACACTCTTGGTGGAGAGAGGAAGTCCTACAGGGAACCTTCCGTGATTGATCCGAAACGCCTTAGAGTCATACTCGTATATCCATTCCGACGATCTGGGTATTATGGCCTTGTCTGCTATTATATCGATTGTGTCAACATGATAATTATTTTTTGAAATCGAAATTTTTCTTTAAGTGGACATGCTGAAAGTCCATCGGGTCCCATTTGAGGGAGGTAGTTTCGCCCCACTCGTTCTCTAGGATACATGATACTATATGTGGGTTGAGTTGTGGATCAAACGAGAGCATAGGCCATTTGTTGTGTCTCTTTAAAACTTGACGGCAAAATTCTTTCTTGAACATGCAATCTATGGCGATGGCGGCCTCCTGGAGATCTTGTTTCATCACAGTTCCCTTGTTCATACAAGACTTGGTAGTAGCGTCCATGTCGACTACAGGATAGCCCATAGTTTTCCACATAGATGTTTTATAAATATTGCATCTGATTATCAGACGTTCCTTCTCAACCAAATATACTCCTCTAAAGCTTTTACAGGTATCAACATTCGTAGTCGAGGCGCTTCTTCGGGAAGAAGTCGACTTGCTCTTTGTAAATACCTTGTGTTTAGGCGACCCAATGGTGTTACGAAGTTGGAAATTGATCTTCCATCACATCTGCACTCTCAAGGAACGCAACTTGATCATTTGTCAAAGTTGCAGCACGTGCCCATACAAGTAAATTCCTGGTGGGTAATCCCGCTGCTGGGCGGATGTCCTGAGTAAGGTCCCAGTCTCTATTTCCGGGTGTAGCTGTTATATGTAAATCAGCTTGTATGCGTTGGACACACAAACGTGGGCAAGGCATTGACATGTACATCAAATGCGTGTTAGCGCTTATCCTGCCAAAATGACCTTGTTGATTAGGCCAAGCAGGTATCGCTAGTCTGTAATGTAGCGATGCTGTATCCCCGACGTGTCCGAATCCGCTGATGTAAGCGTCGATTTGTCCAGGCAATGCATGATTACCCGATAAGACTTGGTTGGCAAAGGAATCCTCGTCATAAGTCGAGTCTCCCTCTTCTTGTCGAATGCTAATGAATCGAGCATATAAGCTCATAGTGCAATAGTACACCCATGCCGACTTTGCCACAACTTTTGCAAAATAAGGCTGGTTTGACGCGATGATGTCGTATTCCTTCTCACATAGTGGAATAAATCCTTCCGTGGTAATCGCGAACTCATTGGCTCTGCGGTATGGTGCTACTCCAGGAAACCCCATCTTGTCCATATCTGAGAACATTGGTTCATTCTTCGGTTTCGTGGGTTCAGTCGATAGCCTAGTAGGTTTTGGCCCTGTAGATGTTGGGTCGCGCGGAGGTAACGGCGGTGCCGCTGCATTCTCTGACGCCATCGACCTTTTCTGGAAAACCTTAGTTTTCTGGCGTCTGGGAGTCCCCGTGACCATGGGTGCTGGAAAGCACCCGAAACGTCGGGTATTAAAATTAATATAAATAAAACGCGATAAAATCCGTAAAAGTAGTTTTAATCAATGTCTGGGAGGGGGTTTAGAAACCACCTCTTCTCCTACTTGCTCTTTAACTGGCACATTCTTAGCATAGTGTTTTGTTGCCATCGTGGCGAGTCAACAAATCCACACACGGATGATGAAGGCAGCAAACGTCAATCTCCCTATCAGCGAAATACCTATTTCCCAATTCTAGAATTTGGAATTTATGACTCGGTTGAGATCCTGAAGGATTCTCTTTCTTTCACTTTCTTTTCGGGAAGAGACTTTCGATTTATTGCGGTGTCCCCAATAATTTTCCAGACAATTCCCAGAAATTCTAACTTTTTTGTGGGAAAAAGAATAGATTTTTGGAAGTTTATTACCCAACCTAAGTTGAGTAGAACCGTTTTCACATACTTTATTTAGCAGCTGAGAGCATTTTGGTCTTGACTTGCTATCAGAAAGTCGTCCAAATACACTACTACCCGAATGCCTTTTTTTTGTAAATGACTTGCTATCCAATTCGTGATCATGGCAAAAGCTAAGTGAGGGCTTGTCAGTCCAAAAGGTAGACACGCCTATTGATAAATCTGTTTTCGGTAAACAAAAGCTAGGAATCGGCGATGTTGCCTTTTGATCGGTACATGCCAATAAGCCTTTGAAAGGTCTATTTTTGATATGTAATCTAGCTCCTGCAGAAAATTCGGGACATCATTTTGATTTATTAAACTGAACTTTTTGGGTTTCAAAAACATGTTTAATTGTTTGAGGTTGAAAACAGGTCTCATGGTGTTGTCGGATTTCCTTACGAGAAACATTTAAGATAAGAACCTGGTCGTTACTGTTGTTTTTTCTATAACACCAAATCTTATCATATTTTGTATGTCCTGTTGCAGTGGTGGGGACTCCTTCACTGAAAATCTTCTTATGTTGTGCTTTGAAAACGGTATGATTGGAGGTCGCATGACAAAAGGGATAATATACCCTTCTAAGTTCTGTAGGATATGAGGAGGTGGATTCAGTTTTTTCCATTGATGTCGAAAATCTTTCAGTCGACCTCCGTAAAAGTGCGAGTCAATCCCGCTGACCACTAAATTTTCCTCTTTTAAAAGAATTTTGTGTTCGCTTTTCAGATGACTTTGACTGTTTAGATGGAGTCTTCGTAAACTTATTTGGAGTTTTGTTTAAGTTCCGTTGAGTGCTTGATGTATTTGTCGAGGACCGATGTCGAAACTTTGCTCTATTGTATTGTTGTTGGTTTTCCTGAAATGGCTCAACCTTATTAATACTCATGACCCCTTCTCTTTTGATTAGTTCAGATAATTTTTGCTCGTCGAATAAATGAGTGCGTGAAGGTGGGATATCATTCAATTCAGTCGCTAAGAATTCCGATCTAGGTTTAAAAATTCTTCGACGATTTTCGAACACTTCTGATCTACGTGCACATGTATAATGTAATAAATCATCCGATGTCTGTTTAAAAGAATCTGATTTAGCAAAAAAAGATTGTTTCAAAACAGAGACCGCTTCCGGATACTTTTTCTCGACCTCATTTAATGCTGCCTCAACCTGTGCTCTTTCTTTCAAGATGCCATGAGTGATAGTGCCTAAGGCAGTATCCGTTCTGGCCAATATTTTTTGACTGTGAGAAGTTAAATTGCCAAGACCTGTCAGTTGAGAATTTACTTTTAAAGCACTGAAAACTGGAGCGGCATGAAGGCGTTTCTGTACATCTTTATATTTTATCTTATTCCAAGAATTTGTACGATGTCCTCGTCGTCTTCGTCGGATGTCGATGCTCTCCGCTTCTTTGATTGTGAGCTCGCCTTCAGGAACAATGCTCGTTTGACTTTGCTCCCAGAACGAGCTATCTCCGTCGTCGTACGCTTCGATGGTGTAGTCTCCGAGTCTTTGGACATGGAGTCATCGACACGTCGAGCCACTATAGGAGCAATCGTGTAAGACTTGGAGGTGATCTTTGTGTTCGGCAATAATAAAGATCCCGATTCCTCCACTTCCTCGAGTTCCCGTCTTCGTTTTTCTAGCTCGATAATAGCCGTTGAATATTGGTCTAATAGTTGCACGTTCAAATCGTCTTCCCAGTCCGTCATTTGGAACCTCCTCTACGCCGTGGACAATCCGTCGCCGCATGCCCACTCCTCGAAACTCTCGAAACCACATGTTGCTAAGGGTTTCTTTTGATCTTTTAGGAACTGTATAAATTTTGGAATTTTTAGAATCATCAAGGACCAGATATATTATATAAGTATGATTATATTTTATATAATGAAAAATATTTTAGTGATAATATTGTTTGTAGTTTTTAATTGCCTACATTAAAATTATTGCTATGGAAATTGAAAATACATTAGACTTAGTAACTCATGTTAAAGAACAAAGTATTTATAAAAAATATATAATCAATTAAATTCAAGGATAAATGTTCTAGAAAAACTTGTTGCTCATTTGTTTAATAACAAAGTATTCGTTGATAACAACATAGTCGTTAACAACACGCCATTGTTAATAACCTTATACAATGACGATAAAGAAATAAGCACGAATAAACAACGTGAGTTTAACAAAGGAAAGGAGGATGGCCAAATTTCTATAGGAGCTGGACTTGACTTTTTTTTTCATGTCCCAAACCAAACTATAGTTAGATTGGTTTTTTTTTATGTTATAAACACAATCACCTTTAAAAATAATATCTAAATCACCACGATTTATTATAATAAGGTCAACAATATTTTAAAGGCTGAATCAACAAATACCTTTTACTTTTTTTATTGGCCATTTTATTAAAATATAATATTGGTATGTCAAAATTACAATCAATACAAATGATATGAGATTACCTACATTATATTATTAAAATTACAACTCAAAATACATTTACATTATTTTTACATGTCAAACAAGTCATAAAATGAACATTTCATATATTCTTCTATATTATAGAAAGCGTGATTCATAAATTATGTTTTTGTCACTTGTCGAAACGAAGTCTTGTTATTTCTAAAGGCAATTTATTGTACACTGATTTTTAACGAAAAACCTTGCTTGGACGCTTTATCCGACTGCGACGTAGCCTAATAGTGTAGTTAAAATAATGTTACCCAATAATAGAACATCTCTCAAAGCGCACCCTACGTATGTGCACCATACTCCCTAAAGCTCGATGTCAAATCAAAAAGGGCCGTCTGTCAAACCATCTCGTGAAGTTGACCATTTAGACAACAAATTATGACCGATAATTCAATAAAAACTACACCTACATGTATTGCACTAGCTTGCACGGTATGTAGTGTAAAAAACAAGGATGGCGTAATTATTATCACACGAAGTCTTTCCTAAAAGATTTCAAGGCTTTTTTGTAGTTTGACCATTTTAATTCTAGCTGAAGAGAGTTAGTCGCTAGATACCTACTGTCTTTCAGTCTTCAATACTAAAGTTGCATATGTATTGAAAAATCGAGTAATGGTAGGTTACGGGAATAAATGAAGTGTAATGGTAGAATTTATAATTTAGGAGTACTTTAATGAAACAAGTAGGCTAGACAAAATTACTTTTTATTCATCATCCTATCTTATATCTACAACATCGAAGAGTGATGTTGGCACTGGCGATATTGTCGGCTGATAACCTGGCCCACCCAAGGTACCACACAAGCGTCATAACATGTGCACATCACCCAACTGTCCTTCGATTCAATACCCTCTGTGAAACCTGACATGTTCACTATAATAGGACCTTTCCTGTTGAATCCATATGCTCCTAGTGCAAATAATATAACTTCATACATGCGACTTAAAGTTCGTTGCAGTGTTTGCTAAATAAAAATATGTGGTGGAACCATACAACAACTATTTATCACACAATAATAGGGCATTTCTCAAAGCGCACCCTACACACACATCTGTCCTATAAATCCTAAACATCATGTATAATATCACTGCATTTATTATTCTAATTATTATTCTAAAAATCGTCGGCATTTTATAAGTCCTTTCTTAAAAATAACACAGTAGATAGGTGCAGTGCGGGCCTTTTGTTTATTAATGAATTTGATATGTTATAACAAACTATATGAATCTCTAAATCCCCTGTCTAGAATAAAAACATCGTTATTTTGAAAGTATTGTCTGAGAGGAGAGTTTTCATCTCTGAAAAGAGACTACATTATATCTGCATCAGTTGTGGTAGCTTTGTATGGGCCAAGGCAGTCTAAAATGTAGCCATCAGGTGTCACCAGCAAAAATGGTTTTAACAAGTTTTTGTATTTATGTAAGGAATATGTGTCCTTTTGGAACATATAATTGGAACTTTTGTTTATAAAAATATATGTCCCATCACATATAACTATTGCATTTTCATTATTTTGATTATAAATTACATTTGGAATCATTAAATTGTGTTGCAATAATTGCTCACGTGATATGTGTTCAATTCCCAGATTTCTAGGCACAAAATCTTGTACCAATATTTCCCTAACCTTATCCATTAATCTTTCTAATGTTCGCCTTGGAACCATTAATAACTGTAATAACCGATCATCTGATTCACCAGTTTTCATCTTCATTAGAAGAGCACCTAAACCTAAAATGCCTCTATTTGTTTCTACAAGACGGGGTGTTTCATATAGTAAAAGTTCAAATTGTTGTTTATTCATTCCGAGCCAATAATGAAACAAATGCTAATCAATTCTTTCAACACTTTCCATATTTGAATATCAAGAAATGTGTTGAAAGCATTTATAAAAGAAAGAGCATGTTCCACTTGTTCAGCCGTAAATGTACAAAACTATTTTGAGAATTGAACAACATATCCCAATCAGTACTAAATGTATGCTCTACACAAATACAAGCATTTATAGGCAAGTAATATTTGTGTTTGCTAAGCGT